TGCAGGGTCTGATAACAATCCATATCCCACAAAATCCAGCGCATTATAAAGAAAGTTACGTTTATCTATGGTCAGATACAATGAATCATCCATTGGTTTCATAAAGTAACAAATGAAATTTAATTTTTCATTCACAAGTTTCCTGTTGATTATTGATGCCTAGCCTACGTTGTAAATGATTTACCGTGTTGAAAACAAGCGTTTGAGTAATGAAAAAAGGGGAAAAAAACGTAAAAATCTTACTGTTAATTGACCAGCAACACCAAAATCTGCCAGTTTCGCATGACCTTCCATATTCAACAATATATTGCCAGCTTTTATATCACGATGAATCTTTTTTAAATCGTGCAAATAACGCAGACCTTTTAGGACGTCCCTGCAACTCAGAGAGAACATTTGCAGGGACCGCTCTGGATGAGAATAAGCACATGTAAGGAATGAATGAAATATTTGTGTACATGATGAGAGCAGGCACAATACTTATAATTTATGTAAGTCCTACAGAGAGTCCAGGAATGAAGACAGCAAAAATAGGAACAAAAAATATCCAAGGCGTACTACAGGATAGATAACCAAATCTCTTCTCGAGCTCTTATAAATGCAAATTTTCAAATGGTTTCAGTTTTTTGAAACTAGCTAAGTTTCCACTAATTGCAAAATTCCTGCACTCCAAATGTCCAGTTCATTGTTTCTTGAGAGATAGGAGATCGAAAAACACATACGATAAAACGAACTGGGAATTTTTATAGATGCAAAAAAATGCATAAAAATTCGTATCAAGTCGAGAAAAAAGCAAACAATCACCTAGTGACTGCAGCAATCTCAGATTCATTTAATGTTTTCTTACGAATCCTCATAATATCGGACACGGATCCGGCACCGCAATATTCCATAACAATCTGAGCAGCACAAATTTAAAAAAAGTGTTTCAAAAATCAACTATAGCGATGTTACGACAATCAACAGAAAATGTTAGGATTCCTAACGATGCCCACAAAATGATGTGGCAGAATGCACATCGAAAAGAGAGTTTCAAAGGACTCGATTTGGAACAGGACTCAATTCCACACTAAAATAATTCACGAACTGCAACACAGTTACTATACGGTTGTAATCACTTACAGACCGTCCTTACACATCGAGTGGACCATTGGGAATGGTCACCTCGAAAGCTAGCTATTTTCATAGGCGGATCCAATACCATTTCCTGGGGAAGAAGGGCGAGGGGGATACGAGTCGGACTTCTACCGGCGATGAGTAGGGAGGAAGAGGAGTGAAGCTCCTGGGGTGATGGGGGTTCGGAAGGAGCTTTCTTCAGTTTTAGCTTTGGACTCTGACTTTTGTAGCACTGGTACCTGTGCCATTGGGGAGACTCCTCTCCCCCCACCCCTCTCCTCCCTTCCCCTTCCTAGATCTGCCTGTGGTTATTTTATCGGCTATGATCCAAGTTGGACAGTCAATCAGTCATATTTTTATTACCAGTTACTGATGAAGTCATTTCCTCCAACGACTCGTCAGTCGTTAACAGGCCCCAAGTTTCGCCTGATACCACCACAGGATTTGTCAATTCTCCGATTTTCTGTCACTATCTAACTATTAATACACTCTCCCTCCCCTTTTCCCCTCTCTCCCTCCACCCGGTCCCTCGTCCCTGCCCTCTCTGATAGGTGGGAACATTCGAAAATTAACCGAGTGGTAGCAAATGCCAATAGCAACTATTCGCTGTCAAAGTTGTCGATGGCTCAATCTGCTGTTTACAAACAAGTTGATAGTAAGTTTGGCTCCCTGACATATGCCAGTACCAAATCAAATTTTTTAATGAAAGAAATGAACGAATCGCAGAGGGACTGGTGCTAACATCAACGAAATCAAATTCTCGCCCTATTGCACGACGACAATGCTAGTTCCCATTCCACCATCTTTTTAACTTCTAAAATTTTAAAAATCTGACTAAAAATATCAGCTTTTTCGAAAAATACTTTTGAAAAATGAGTAAATTGGTACCCAAAGATCGGAGTTTTTGAAGTATGAGCCATAATATTTGACAACATATTTGCTATCGCATTGTTGCATTATGCTAATTTCTTTGATTATCTCCTGCAAATCTGTATCCACCGGCACTCTCTTCACTGCTAGAACATGGCCCGTTTCCTTGTGGATTGCTTTGTGCACCGATCCATAGGATCTGAAAAGTATCACAGAATTAATAACAAAAACAGCCTAGGGGAGAAATGTATCGCGAATTTGAAACGAAGAAAAAACAGATACCCTTCGCCAAGTTTGCCAACAACATCGAACACCTCTTCTGGTGTTTTGTTCAGGGCTGTTGCATCAAGCTTGAATCGATCGCTGCAACAGGAACAAACTTCATCGGAATAACTGCCCAAGCAGGAAAAATTATAAAGAGAAGCTACAGGAAGACTGTGTTTTTTTAAAGGGCCTTAAAAAAGTCTTCTAAAAT